CGCGCGACTGCCGGTAAACTATCATCAACTATCACAAACTTTTTTGGCCGTTTGACAATGCGAATGATAGTTGGTGATAGTTGATTGAGGAGTAGCTTGAAGAGAATCAACTATCATCGACTATCATGCGCCGTTTAACCAAGGCTTAAGAGTTGTTCAAGGCGTAGCCGAGAGCAACTCTAGCTTCTTTAGTTTATGTATAAAGGGCAGAAATTCCCTCTCCTTAGCTTCAATGCGTTGTTTATTTTGTTTCGGAAAAGTATTTCGCCATGCTTTAATGATCTGGAATAGCAGGGATAAATAAGATCTTGTCTCAGATTGGTCAAAAGCTGACAGGTGAATTCATGCGTGGAAATGAAGTTAGAGTTCCGAAACGAGATGAAACCGTTGATTGTTTGTTTTCCCTTTCTATGGGTTCTTTCTCGGGCAAAAAGAAAAAGTAGGCAGATCTTCATTGGCTTGTTCGCTTGTTGCCATGTCTAGTTTAACTTTTTTGCGGAATTCTTTCCCGTTTTTTTTAATGAAAAATGCTTCAGTCACTCGTGAGAAAAAAATTTTTTCGCGAGGCATTTGTTTGCTGACGTCGCCAGCGTGCACAATGGAAAATTGAAGCACGCTCGGGCTATTGAATTTGATTGCACGAATTTACAAGCTATGTTATAAAGTTCTTTAACGTCTTCTTAACAGGTATAAAAAGTTACTTCTCGATCAAGATTGCAATGATTTACTCAAATAATATTTCACTCACGGTAAGCCGTCATTTTCAGAAATACAGAAAGGACGGAAATGGGCCAATAATCCCGCAATGCATCCTGGTTAAGCGTGACCTGATGCCCCTGCTTGGTGTGTTGCAGAGCTCCCGCTTTTGTGTCTTTCACGCTTATATGGCGTTTGAAAACAATGATCATAAAACGGAGGGAAAATATTTTGAAGGCCTTAGCCTTTTTAGTGGCCGTTTATATATCTTTTCAGCTAAGACTTAAATGGAGTACTCGTTCCTCCTTTTCTGACATCGCTCACGAAGAAGTAGAAGTCGCAGAATATATGCAGTGGATACAACAGCAAGAACCGAAAATAAATCAACTAAACCCAACCACGGAATCTTCATCGGGCTTTACAACGACTTCTACCCCAAAAATTAAGCACAACACATTTCTTATAACCAGGAGATCTTGTACGCAACATTACGATCTTCTGTTGATTATCTCATCCGCTCCAGGTAATTTCGAAAGAAGGAACAACATTCGTAAGACATGGGCATTCGAAAGATCCGCAAAACCAAGATGGACGTCAGTTTTTCTAGTCGCTGAAACACGGGATGAAGGAGTGTCGAACTTGCTGTTGGAGGAAGACGAAGCTCTTAAAGACCTTGTGCGAGCTAGCTATTATGACTACTATTACAATCAAACCCACAAGATCAAAATGGGCTTCGAATGGGCAGTAAGATATTGTAATTTCTCGTTTCTTTTGAAGTTGGATGACGATGTTTTCGTGCATATTCCAAGAGTTCTCTCCTTCTTATGCGCACCCACCACGCCGAAAAAAAAGCTTTACGCTGGCAACCATTACAAGAACAATCACGTCGCTCGAGTAGGAAAATGGAAGGTGTCTTACGAAGAATATAATGAAACAACGTATCCGGATTTTTGCCCAGGGTTTGGATATATATTATCTCACGATGTTGTAATTGCATTTGTTGACACGTTCTCTTCCTTTCCGTACTTTAGATTAGACGATGTTTACGTTGGCATGCTAGCGAGTAAGAACGGATTGAACATCACAAACAATGTAGGTTTTGAAGTATGGCATCCACCTCAATATGTTTGTATTCCAACAAATGATACTTTAGTCAGGCATGATGTAGGAGAAGAGTGCCAAATGAAAATGTTTAATTTAGCCATTTTCCCTGAGTATTTAAATGGCTTAGCTCACACCGCTTAACTTACAATGATCATGCTGCAAACCTACCTCTAATTGTCTATTTAAATTACTACACATTAGCAGGATAAACCACCTTCTGCACAGAAAGTCTCATATTGTTGATGAACGCTTTCGTTTTTAGCAAGCTATTTTATTGCTCAACTGTATGGGCTAACACTTCTCAAGGCAATGTAAAGAAACTCCAACTCGTACAGAATTTTGCTGTGCGTATCGTGTTGGGTCTTAGGAAATATGACCACATCTCAGAAGGCATAAGATCCCTTAACTGGCTTACTGTTAAAGATAGACTCCTTCTTAAAGTCCTGGGGTAGACCATTGAGAGTTGACTCGACGAGACAAATTTACATACGTATGAGGATCGTGCATCATACGTATCTAATACCACAGTTCAAAATATATGAACTTCATATATACATTGTATCAGACAAATTTACGCTACCCACTTCTCCGAAGCGACTAAATCAGCGTATAATTTTCCCTTGGGGTACGCCGGTGACAATTTATTTGTCGTGTGCAAATATGCGCTACCTACTCTTCCAAAATAGCTAAATTGTGATGCCAAAAATTTTTTTCCGATTAGTCAAGAACTTTTTCTCGTCGCTTCGGCCAAAGTCCCTCAGCGCTACGAAGAACAAAAGGACTATTGTTTACTACTTAATGTGTGAATTTGAGCCTGAACGATGGACCATTTCTTGATACGCATGCTGTAATGGTATTTAAATGTCTTAATGATTTAGTCCCAAAATATATCTGGCCAGTATATTTGTACCTCGTTCTCATATTCACA